TCAAATCTCATTGCAATTATTTGTGAAGTGCCTTGGACACCATTAATGGGGAAGTGTCAAAGAACTAGCATCATTATTGTTACTACTATGGAATGAAAAATACATTGAGAACTGTTGGGTGTAATTTTCAGAAGTTTTGCCTGAGAGCAAATTACTTCCCTAACCACTGTATATTTATGGCTTTACCAGCCATAATTTTCAAACAAATTCTAAATCAACTCTAAAGAAGGAAATAACAGTTTCATTTGCCACAGTTCTATTTTTCAAGATTAGAAAGAAAATTGCCACAAGGCTTGCTTAATGGAAACAAAGTCTATACTGAAATGTACAGAAGGGCACACATTCTGTAGCACCCACAGGATTCTACCAGTTTCCAGTCAACAATCCATCATCAGTTAACATTTGGAACCCCTGTTTGGAGATTCAAGGGCAACAAGGCTATGAGCTAAAAGACAATTCTCCCATAATATATTTTGCCTTCCCTTTGATGCATAGCCAGATAGGCATCTCATACTTCACCCCACAGTCTTCATCCTTTGTTAACTACAATTTTGGTTTGGATTGTCAAAATCTCACTTGCTTAAGAAAAGTGTAAATCTTTATCAGAATTTCCTAAGAGGCTTTCCTAGCTGGCTTTTTGGAGTTGATGGATGTTAATGTGCTTTTTTTTTGTCAACATACTGTAAAGCAAATAATGTATTAGTGACCAATTCAACAATAGTGGGGGTGTTTGGTAAACCTTCAAAAGAAATAAATCATACCCTATTATCCTTCAGCCTACAAAGTTAAAACAGCTTTTGCTTTCAATACAATAAGCAAACACTTAACTGCTCCCCACAGATTTCAGTGTTTGAAGGTGGACACGTTTCAATAAAATGTTGTATAAAGAAAGAAAATACTGAGAAAATATACAGCAAGCTACATTCAAGCAACCCGAATCACACTGATCTGGTAGGAGGTAATAATTACAGACAGTCTAAAGAAAAATACCAGATTTAAACACTCCCAAACTAATTCATTTTGAAAACCTGACGCAACAGACAGAGCTGCTTGTCTGCATCTGGGAGAAATCGAGGATTAGACAATGGTTCAAGTGCTACACACTGAGAACTCACACCAGCCTAATGATGCAGTCCACAAAACTGAGACTTGCAGTCCTGAGAAGATGTGGCATATAAGCTATTTAACTAAGTCCACCTCTCCCCAGTGCTTCAGCATGGGATCAGCTGAGATGTTTTTATGAATGAAGACATCCAAATGATATAACATAGATGAGTTTGCAAATTTTAAAGCACATCCTTGGTAAACAAGCTGAAACCAAGCACTCTGCACCCACTGCAAACATATACACATGTCAGTGACGGCTCTGGCTCTCAAAGTAACAAGTCTTACATAGTATCGCTATGGCAGAAGATGGTTCTGGCTTTCCCAAGAGGCATGTTACAAAGGAGCTCCAAATATCTTTAATGAATAGCAAAAATGCTTTATGTCCAAGAAACATCTGTATGACAATGAAGCATACTGCTAAGAACAAAGACAGTATATAGCAAGGGCATAGCCCAGTTGCAAATGCAGAAATGCAGGGACTGATCTCTTGGTTATAAGATACATATGGAAACGACAAGAAAGAAGAACATGACTGACAGGAACTAGAAACAACTTCTCTGGTGTTTGGCTTACCAGAATGGTCCACAGTGTAGCTGTGCCAGGATGACATACTGTTTAGTGAAATGGGACTTGGATACATGTGTACATGCATGTATGAATAGAAAAGGTTATACTTCCCTTGTTTCACAAATTTCTCAACTCATTGAAAATCAGACAAGCATGAGAGATCCTTAATGTAACTACCCACTCACAGCCAAATAGGTAATAAGACAACAGAAACAGCCTCCTGGGAAGTAAAAGATCATTTTCTTACTGATCTAACAAGGGAAATCAAACTTTACCTGGATTTTCTACAAGCACAGAATAGAACAATCTAATTATGAAAAGCCCAAACTGTGTATGTTATAATTGTTGGTGAACTGTACAATGACCATCATTTATAAGTTCCAGGGAAACTGGGGCACCATTGTGTGCGTTTGCTACTGTGCAAACACACACAACGGTGCTCACAGCAGAGATTCCTAACCTGTCCCTCACGATCTCTATGTAGTCTGCTAGGATAAATCATCCAGCTCACAATCCATTCCCAGTCCACATCTCTCCTGGCAGTGCAAACTTTATCTTAAGCATGTCAAATAAGCATATTTAGGACTTAAAATTTATGTCCCTCAACTTGTCTAGACCATCTCCCCTAGGTCACAAGTAATGGCAGGTGGTTTGAGGAATGGGCTCTATAAAGAAAAAGGCATTTCTTCAGGTCCAAACACAGCTAAAGTAAAAGCATTTTGCATACATAGACTACTTTCTGCTTAAATAAGTAGGTCACGTACTGTAGCCTCTTTTTTACCCTGTCTATGCAATACAAAAAGATAATTGTTCAAAAAGATGGTTGACTAGTGTGAATGAGACACAATAAGCAAGAGATTAGACATCGAAAATACATAATTTCTCTGGAAATCAGTTAAAAGGTAGACAGAGAGTAGTTTTACTTGGATTCTTCCATGACAAGGATATTATCCAGCCAACTGGATGCTAAGAATATCATAATCTGGAGGAAAAGAAAGGCTGAGCATAAGCAAAGTGGGAAGTGAAGACTGGAGAACACAAAACGTATAATGGCATCCCATTTGTCTTGCAATGGGAAGCCAGGCTAGCAAGATAGTGAAAAAGATGCTATTCAACTCTTTTGTAATATAAACTGCTTTGTTAACCTGTTCCTTCTGGCAGTAAATTAATGCATCCTGTATGACGATATGGCCTGGGACCTTACTTACTGTTACCACTCATCCACTGAAAATTGCAGGTGTAATATAATCCTCTCCCCTAGCAGCAGGAGCATCAGCAGAGCTACTGTTAGGGTCACTCTTTCAATCACTGGCTCAGCATTCCCACTGTGTATCAGGCTGTGATCTTTGGGATAATGCAATTGGACACCCACAGAAAGCCCATGAGCCACAATTTTAAGTGGAGACATCCTCTGAGGACTTTGGAACAGCACCTAAGAAGTAGATTTCCCTGCTTGTCTTCCCTTGCAGCCAAAACCTGCTTGTGCTGGCATCAGAACAAGCTATAGCTTTAAGGTAAATTACATTATGAACTGAATGTGGTTTTGCAGGTGTTAGACCTCTTTCATAGAACTTAAATACTATGTGCAGTGGAAAGAAGATGCCTTCAATTTTATTCCTGTGTATTTTCCAGCTGAGCTTTGCAACAGAAAATACAGGATTAAAGTGTATCATGAATGATCATGAAGAAACAGGTGCTAAGAAAAAACAGTAACTCTGAATCTAGCTTGGGTTTAAGAGACCCAAATGATAATCTGGGCAATTTCAATCTTTATTTCTTTTCTATAACAGTCAAGTTCTAATTAACTCACCAGGTTTCGCCCTCTACCATTACGAAGAGGAAGGGAGTAAGAACAGTGAAAGGGGAGGAGAGATTATTTTTTTCCTGTGAAAAATTCATGCCTGATTAAAACAAAGCAAACTGGCAAATAATGAGCGTTTTTATGTAGTCATTACTTCTGCAGAGAGCAATCATACTGAGTGCTAAAAAATGCCCACCAATTCCTCCACATCAGGAATCAGAGCTCTAATATTCCCTGCAGAATGATTTATCTCAGTGCTGGATCTTGCCAACACATCGTCTGTACACTCCAAATTTGGTGCTCCTGGTTAATAGAAAGAGCTCAGACTTTTTCTCTTTTCTGTACCTATAATATCATTATTATTGTACAATCTATTTAAATATCCAGCTGAGTTCCACCACATTTTTAACTGCAAGGGGTTCTCCTTTTATCCCTCCCCAGTTAAACAGATGGTTAGACTTATTTAGCAATTAAAATCAAGTTTTATTTACTCATTTCACTGGAGCAAGGTTAGAGCCAGTGCCATATCATGTAGGCTTAAAGATTTTGCTAATTTACTTTAATCCACTTAAACCCTTAAAGCACAGATAATGGAAAACAGACAAAAAACTCTTACACTTTCCAAATTAAGAGACAAGAGTTTCCTCCTCTGTGTAGAGTAAAGCTCTCTAGAAGAACACTAAAAGGTCAGCAAGGAAGCCTTTGACTACTTTCTTCCTGGAAACCCTATCTCAAAGGTCACAAACCCACAACTAAATTGCCTTTAGCAAAGAACCTAACTAGAGACACATTGCAAGGTACTTAATTGCCTTTAGGAAAGAATGTAACTGGAGTTGCACTGCAAAGCCTTAAATGGGAACTAAAATCGATATTTCAACATTTAAAAGGAAACCATTCTTAACAAGGACATTCAGCAGCTGATGATGCTGATCTTAACACACTAGTCTGAAGTGAATTGAGAAATAATAGTAATACCAACATAATGATCTAACTGTCTAGTGGGTAAGTGGACAGATTGGACAGACAGCAGTTTAGGAGTACAGGTACACTCATGGAAAATCCAACTGGGATAAGGACAAGAGAATGCCATTCCCTGCCACTTTAAAACAATTTACTTTTCTTGTGTTCAAGTATGAACAAATTCTCTATCACTTTTCACTCACCGAGTATCTGGATCCAGCTAGCCAGGTGAGGTACATAAGCTTACTGAATTTCAGATTACTGAATCCAGTTAGAGAAAAGGAAACTGGAACACATTTTCAGTGTGGCACAAGATTACAGGGAGTTTGTAGCAGAATTGAAAATTGAGATTCTTAGACCAGTAGTTGCAAAATTGTCTGAATTAAGTGAAGCCTCAGAGATAAAACACTGTAAAGTGGATACAATTCATTAGGCTACTTGCACTGGCCTGTGGATCACAGGTATAAGGAAAACAGCACAGACTAAACCATCATCCACAGCACCAGGAAGGACTTCAAAATGGATCATCCTACTGGAACTGAAAACAGCAATAGAAGCTACTTACCTTCAAAAGAAATTGTGGGGTGTTCTTTCCTGACACATTGCTGATATTCAGCTTCAGAGTATTCAGGTACATTCTGTGATGCTGAGAGATGAAAAGCAAGAAGAAAAAGGCTTGGCAATGACAGGGAAATGGCCTTTAATCTTGAAACAACCATGACTGAAGGGCGACTGCAGATCTAGCTTCCAAGGTAGACCCAGGGAGGATACCTGAAATACAAATAATTCCACTTTCAGAAAGACGAATGCTTATTCAGAGCATGTAACATGGGTAGAGAAAGGTGGAGGTTCCCCTTTCATCCCAACCCCACTTGTACTAAGTACACAAGATAATAATCCACAAACAGCATCTAAAAATAATGACCCAATTTACAACTGTATTTGGGCTTTTAACTTCAAAGAGAAGGGAAGCGCACAGCTCCCTAAATATGTATCTCTGTGCACCTTTGGGGCACACGTCCTTACACAGCAGCTGGTGTGCAACGGCCAGTGCTGACAACTTGAGCTCTCAAATATTCCAGGTGCAAAAGTGTCCCCCAGTGTGGACACCTCACTCCTCAGTTTCATGAGATGTCCATGTTTAAATGTCATGCTACGTTCAAGAGATTGCTAAGGAATGGCCAACATCAATCATCATGAAAACACACATGCAATTAATACTGTTCTAATAGGAAATTCATCCATTTTACCACTGCTGTTTTAAATGTTTTAAAACCAGAAAAGCCAATTTAAAGGTGTTGCCAGGAAAGTGCTAATTAGGGTAACATAAAAATTAAAACAGCTTAATGGGGAGAATGGTGAGATGTGAGTCAATTGCCTGCCTTATCATGGGATGCTATAGCTCTCAGTCACAAGAGCTGAGGCACAGCTAAACGGGAGGAACACTCACTCTCAGGCTGGGAGAGGGGAAATGCCTTTTCTATATGAGCATTTTTAACAGCAGCAGCAGAAAAGACATAGCTCTAAAAACTTCCCTGGGCCTATCAGGCCTGAGGCAGGGGATGGAGGATTAATTAGCCCATGCCACAGGCTCCCCAAGGTGCTGCTGCAGCTTAGGAAAACCTGCATTGCCAAATTTAATCTTACTAATGTGCATATTGTATTTTCCTATGTAACTTTGTTCAATTATTACAAACACATGTTTTCAAACAAATGGAGTCTCCTACCTTTAAATCTTACCTGGTGATAAAGCTGATTCTGATTAAATTCACACATAATGAGATTTTCAATTCCTGCAGGTGTAGCGTTACATGAAGGTAGTGCAACAGTCAACACCTGCAGTGCCTGATACCTCTATGTTTTTGTCTGGAGTCTCCAAAACACCCTCAGTGAGCTGAAGCGGCCAGGCTAGTGGTTGGTACCATGGGGTACTGATACAGGTCTGTGTCAGGCTCGTGACACAGACCAAAACAGGGGGCAATAATGTGACATCAAGAAGCTGGAAGAAGTTTACAAAGGTCTTTGGGTGTCACAGAGCGATAAGGGAATGCTTACAGCAGCTAGGGGAGACAGCTGGTTTGAACGATGGATCCTATGTTTTATTCTTATCTGTATTTCTCTGTGATTTTAAAACACTGGCATAGAGATGAGTTGCCAGCGCATCCATTATGTGTGTCTTCAGCAGCAGCTACATACCACTGACTGAAAATAGAGTTGGCATTCAGTATTTGGGGTAGTTTTACGGACTTGGTTTCCCAGCCAGTGTGAGTGAGAGATTACAACATTTCACATTTTTTCCAGCCCTGTATACATGCAGATTTTATGCAGGGATATATAAAATCCCTTTCCAGTTCTCCAAAGGAGGTTCTACGCCATGAAGGGTGTTTTTTTAAACACAGCAAATATCATGTTAAATTAAAAAATGGGACTGGCAGAAGTAAGAGATGTGAAATCATCCAAAGCTAAGGCCAGCATACCGTTTAGTCATTAAGCCAAAGCATACTGCAGGGCATAACTGAGCACTGTGGCATCTCAGATGATGGAGATGTTGTGCAAGTCACGCTTTAATGAAAATTACTGATGATGATGCATTGGAGTATATTTTCAGCCACTGGCTTAAATGATCATTTTTTTCAGTACAGATCTAGAAGTTAAACACAAGCAGAGATGTGAACCCCAGGGAGATGCATTTTGTATAGCTCTCGCATCCACTCAAAGTTCCAGAAGAGTCAAAGCCACACTTTCCTTAGAGAGGAGATGGCTGTTGTGGGAAATGCACAAGAGGCAAAAGGACTTCTTCAGTGTCAGATATCTTTGCTGGAAACTGGAAGAGACTGTCATGGAAATTCCACCGTATGCATGCTCTACTCCTCCCAGTGAAGCCATTACTGGTTAATCCAGACTTTTAATCTGAGCCAATATCGTCATTTTCATCCAAACAGTGATCTTAAGCTAGGTGAAAAAAATTCTTACCTCAAAGACACACGGTAGGGTCCCATGCTGCTCTAAGGCCCTATCTGGTCTACAATCAGCACGAGTAAATTCAAGTTTCACACTCATCGGGGTCATGAATGATAAAAAGTTGCATACAGGAAAGCTTCATAACATCCCATAGCATATTCTGTGCCAAAAGCAGAGTACATTTACTAGTGTTTTGTCTGGACTAGTTGTTAAATGTGCCAAGTAGCTGGATTTCTGCCACTTTCCCTGGGAGATTTTACCACAGTCCAAGAGGCTTCAGTGTTCCTTAGAAAGCTGTAACTGGTATTTGGAGTAAAGTTCCATCTTGTTTTTTCTTATTGTCATAGGAGAATCCGAAGTGTGCATGAAAATAATGGTTTCAAACTTAACGTGAAGTTGAAAGTAATATACGACCAAGCAAAGATGAAAAAGAAACATTGAAAAAACTTGTATCCTTCCCTGTGTCTCCTATCTTCTACAGCTAATTGCACCCATCAGATGTGTGAAGCTCTCATGTGCTGGGAAGCTGAACAAAATCAGTGTCATGCAGCCCTGAACTGGTGCCTACTGGACTCAGAGTCAATGGGTAAATGCCAACTTGACCAAGGGCAAGCCATAGAGCACCAACTGAACGATATTGAAACAGTGGATAGCATTGCAAAAGGTTATTCCTTGATTCTGCCCCTTCCCAGGATGCCTTGCTCATTTTTTTCTCAATATTTTACGAGAGACGCCAACTCAGTAATTGCTATTCTCAGCTGCTACAACTTCATGTCTAAAAACCCCATATTCCAAATATGAAGCAGTGCCATGTGCAAGAGCATGGCAATTGTGTGCCGAGACCAAACTACTAACTGCCTGGGAGAGTCCAGCAGCTAGTTATGAAGTGTAAATGTTTCAATTCTACTGGAGATGGCCAAACTAAAGCCTCCAATTTTGCCCAAGCTGCAGATTTTCACTGTGAGGGCAGGAGTATGACCAGTGCTTAGGAGCAGTCCTCATCCAGACTGCTAAAAACACTACATATCTTAAGCACAGCCCAGCCTAGCGGTGGTTTGCACTGCTGGAACTTGCCGTAGCGTTAAGCTGTGTAGATACAGTTAAATACTGTAAAAAGAGATGTTCATATAAGACTTTCTGCTCAACATGGCTTAGAGCTCAAGAAATCAGCTGTCAAAGTTTCAGTGCAGAGAGACAAGGGCTCATATCCCTGGTTAAACTCAAATCCCAGACAGTACATACTTCAGTTCTTTATTTGCTCACCTTGATGTACCTCTACCACTTTAGCTGTTTTGCACCCCCATGCAGACGTGTTAAAAAAAAAGGTTAAAAATGCCCAATAAGATTATCTGTCCAAGTTTATCTGCCATCTCCCTCACAAAAGCCTGTCCTCTGTGCCTCTGCATAACTCCAAGGCCCAGTGATGGGGCATCTCTCTCTCTTCTCATACTCTGCACAGCGAATCTCTCTGGCCCTCAGCTGAAAAAAGGCCAACAAATACAGGCTCCATTCGACCCGGTGGAACATGTCCCAGAGACAGGTACTTTGTAGAGCACCACTTCTGGCACCATCTTCTTGTCTCTTAAATTAGGCTCTCTCAGCTCATAGGCCTCCCTGACTGTAGTGGCAGTGGCAGGGGATGGGCAATGAGCTGCTCCTTCTGGGTAAAGCAGGAGGTCTTCACACGTAATGCATCCCCAGAGCTGAGATTTGCAACCACAGCACCCATGTGAGCACAAGCCCACTGCCACAGGCCCATTTCTCACCCAGGCCATTTCATGGCAGCTGGATAGGGCCAGCACATAATTCTGCTTGGTCTCGTGGCTTCACCCCCCCGCACAAGCACAGCATTCAGGGGATCACCCACAGTCCCTCCCTTATTCGTTCTCAGGGCATGAGTCTTTTCCAACTCGCCCTGTATTGTATCATTGTAACTCCATTGATTTCACAGGAACTAATCCTGATTTACAGAGGGTAACTCAGATCAAGCCCCCTTTGAGTAAAGCTCCATGTCTAAAAGAAAAATACCTTCAATCAATCTTCAGGACTTTAAAACAAAGCACACTTTAAAAATGGCTGTACCAGGAATTCATATCCTGCTTTCCTCTGACTGTAACTATCATTTTGACTTAATAAAACGTGACAGTAAAGTTTAAGGATAAAAGAAAATGCTTCATCTTTCATTTTAAAGGAAAGAGCTCCCTTTAAAAAAGATCTAAAAGGAACCTCCTGTAAAAGCATTAATTCTTCTGTTCGGGATCTTTTGTGATTGGCACAGTTATGATTTTATTAGAATGGGATACCAGAGGGAAGAAGAGCAATGGAAAGAGGTGGGCATTAAAGTATTCCAAAAAAGTACTTGAACAAAAAAGGGAAATAAATATAAACATTACAAAGCAAGACAGCTCAGCAATGTGGCTATGACAGGCTGGCACAGGCAGCTCTGCCCTAAAAAACAGAGAACTCCAAGGCCAAAAAAACCATGGTCCTTTATTCATCCACTGCTCCTTGCCCTTCCCTCCCAGCCTCACCAGCTGGAATTTGTCCCAGCAGACTGGCTCCAAGGGCCTTTCCACACTGTCGAAGAAAAGGCACAGCTTTTTCCTCTGCCCCTGGCCACATGCATACACTCAGCCCTCAGCCAGCACTGGGGAGATGGATATGTCTTGCAGCCAAAACATGGCACAATGCTCTTGCATGTCCAGGTGCCAGATCTCACGTGCACCCTTAGACTGGGGGGCTTCTGTCTAGTGAGCTT